ATACTGGTAGTGGTGGACCGGCTGAGCAAATATGCACACTTCATTCCACTTAGACACCCCTACACCGCAGTGACAGTAGCTGCAGCATTCATCAGGGAAATGATCAGACTGGACGGAGTACAAGAGGCGATTGTATCAGATAGGGATAAGGTGTTTCTCAGCCATTTCTGGAAAGAGTTGTTCAGATTACAAGGGACAGTTCTAAAAAGGAGCACGGCTTACCACCCGCAAACGGATGGCCAGACAGAAGTAGTCAACAGGAGCTTGGAGACGTACCTGAGGTGTTTTGTGTCAGAAACTCCCAGGCTATGGGCTAAGTGGCTATCTTGGACAGAATATTGGTACAACACATCATTTCATTCTGCTTCACTGATGACCACTTTCAAGGTATTGTACGTAAGGGATCCCCCACACTTGATGCATTTTGGGAGTAGCAGCACCCTTGTTTCGTCAGTAGAAGAGTACTTAGAGGAGAGAGACCGAGTACTTGAAGAGCTAAAGAGGCATATGATGAGAGCACAGCAAATTATGAAGAAGCAAGCGGATGGGCATCGGAAGGACATACAGTTTGCAGCAGGGGAGAGGGTGTTTCTGAAGCTTCGACCATATAGACAGAAGACAGTTGCCAACAGGAGGAATGAAAAGCTGGCTCCAAGGTACTTTGGGCCATATGAAGTGCTGGAGAGGATTGGGACAGTAGCATAAAGATTGAAACTACCTCCACCGACAACTATACATCCAGTTTTCCACGTGTCACGATTGAGAAAAGCCATTGGGGAGTACACCGCCAATTCTGAGCTACCAGCAACCCTGACTGAGGAGTTAGAGGTGATTCTAGAACCTATGAAGCTAAAAGGTGTTCGCCATAAAGAAGATAAAACTAAGGAGGTGTTGATCCAGTGGAAGAACCTTCCTGACTACGAGGCTACGTGGGAGCCATATGGGAGGATGAAGCAGCAGTTCCCTGATTCTAACCTTGAGGACAAGGTGATTCTTTGGGAGGGCGGTAATGTTACGCCGGCCCAGGAAGGGCTGGCTGGACCGGTCCGGATCTATTCCAGATAGAGGAAGACCCAGGCGGAACCCCCTGTTGGGGGCGGAAGTCTTGTGGAGTCCACCATGGGCTCAATACAAGATTAGGAGGGAAATTATTTGAACTAAGGGATGTTTAGGTATTTTGAATTATTCCTTTGTCTTTAATTAGGAGTTTTGGAGGGATTTAGAGTTATCTTGAATTTGAATTTGATTTGAGATCTAGGGTTTGTGTTCTTGGGCTCTTGGTTATGGTTAGAGATTTGGAGAGTTTTTCCTTCCTCTCGAATTGAAGGAAAATTGTATCTTGCAAGTGCTTTTAATCCTCTATTGAAATAAAAGTGTTTGCAATTATTTTTCCTACGTTTCTCCCACATTTTCTCTCAGATTTTCTCTGGTTTGGGCTGTTTTCCTGCTGTGGACAGCAGTTTTTCTTTATTTGATACTTGATTTGGGTTAGGATTGCTTGTGAATACAAGCACTTCCTATCAAATTGGTATCAGAGCAACGATTTGGGACCACCGGCGGCTGAATTTCAGAAATTTCAGCAAGATCTTCGTCTCCGGAAGAAGATTTTTGTGGATCCGATAGAAGAAAAATGGCCGGTAAAAAGGTGGAAGTTTTAGAAGGCGAGTTTGGTCAACTGAAGACAGATCTGGAGGGGAAATTCATGGAGATCTCTACCAACAATGAGAGGTTGGAAGGGAGGTTCGCGGCGATGGAAGAAATGATGAAGAAATTATTGGAAATGAAGACCCATCCGGACACATCGGAAGTGAGAGAGACCAATGACGTCCATGGCGTAAGAGGAAATCCGAACCCGATCCGGGGGAGGAGGAATCCGGAAGTGGAGATTCTTGAAGGTGAAGACGACATGCCACCTCTAGAGCCACTCTCTAGAGAGGAGATGAGCATGGGAAATGACCGCCGAGGTGCTGATTTTCA